CTTATAAGAATATTTTAATTTCACTTTTCTACCCACTGTCAAAGTAGATTCCTTAAGTATTTAATATTTTCATACAATATATTTACTGTCCCCCATTTCCTTATACATGGTGGGAACCAAGGGACCACAAAGCAAATGATCTGACAATACAGTTCATAGTGTTATGTTTATTAAAGTTCAACGAGGGTATGACAGGAAAGGAAAAAGTTAAACTTATTACTTGCTGGCAATATGATACTCTACATAGAAGACCCAAAAAACTTCACCAAAAGACATCTAGACTTAAGTGACAGACTAAGTACAGTACTTGGATACAAGGTCAACACTCAAAAATCAATAGCCTTCTTGAACACAAATAATAATAGACTCACTGAGAGAGAAACTGGGGAAACAATTCCTTTCATAATAGCATCCAAGAAAATGAAATATCTAGGAATCAATCTAATGAAGAAAGCAAAAGACCTGTATATTGAAAACTAGTACTCTGAAAAAAGAGATTGAAGAGGATATAAGAAAATGGAAAGACATCCCTTGTTTCTGGGTAGGAAGAACCAATAGAGTGAAAATGGCCATACTTTCAAAACTGCTATACAGAATCATTATGTGTGTTTTTACAAATTGTATTTCCTTTTACCAGAATCATCTGACATTAGTAGAATCTTCAGAGAGCTATAGTCACAATAGTTTATTAATTTTGACTTACTTCTTCAGGTAAATCTTTTCTATTATGTTTATATTATTTGTATGGCATACTTTTGTTTTTCTTTTAAAAGACCTACTAGTAGATTTATTTTCCACGTATTTATTTCTGTTCACCTCACCCATACACTATAGAGCTCAGAAGCTGTATTATTAAATCTTTGTTTTCCTTGAAAAACTCCATGGACATTATTTTGTCTAGTATTTGTTACTATAGCAGAGTTCATCACTAGCCTTTTTCCCCCCATGTAAGAATTCTGTTTGTTCTACATGGATCTCACATTTACAGGAACTTTCCTATGTTATGAAAATTGTAAACTCTAATGAGTTGCCTGAATATAATTGTGAGTTGAAAAATAATTTTTAGGGATTTTTTCCTTCACTAATTTGTTTTTTGCTGCAGTTAATCTACTGTTAATTGCCTTCACAGCCCTTTCAATTTAAAGGTTTCAAATCTCCATACAAAATTTCACGTCCATACATTCTTCAGCTGCAGTTAATCTACTGTTATTTGCCTTCACAGCACTTTCAATTTAAAGGTTTCAAATCCCCATACAAAACTTCACTTCCATAGATTCTTCAGGGTTAATCTTTCTTTACAATTTCACTTAATTGCATGGCAGATACCTTGCACTCAATCTCAGCAAGAACACGATAAATCCTTTAAAATTTTTGTTGTCTTACATTTCCATATAATTTATGATAAGGTATTTATTCTTTTGGTCAGCTTTGATAAAACATCTAGAACAGAACTTTTTATAGGTGAATACATATGTCTATTTCAAATCCTTCAAGCCTAAATAAAGAGAAAACAATAGAGTTTATATGTTCTATAGTTTAGTTGACTATTCAATAGCTTATAATGGAGTAAAAAAGAAGTTTCAGTGGAAGATAACCACACTTGTCTCTAAAGACTTTCCTACCTCTGAGTAATGGAACAGACTGAATTGCTCATTGGAAAGAAGGCTCTTAGGCAGAGCTATACCTGCACACCTGGTGGACATCTGAGTTTGGCTATCCACCAAATCAACATCTTCCATTTTTTCTAGCCCCTGCCTAATGGAGGGGGACCAGAAGTATGTGAGAAAGAGCACCATTAGACACCACTGGAAACTCTTTCTTTATTTCTCTCAGGTATTCCCTCTCTCATCACATTCAATCAAGTATTATTTGGCCTCTCCCTCTATTGGGTTGCATGTCTGAATGTTTTGGCCTAAGACCCTTATCCTAGATTCCAGCATTTGCAATGAAATTTTCCGTAATTTTACAACATTTTTATCATTTCTCTGGAGACCTAAAAGATTTTTTGATGATGATTATGTTGAGAGAAGTACATCATATGATAAGTGTGTCATCTTCTTATGTTGAGGTAAAGAAAAATAATTGGAAGTCAGAGCTAAGAAGCAAATCTTTAGAAGCCAGAAAGTAGAACATCCAGCTATAAGAATGAAGATTCATCTTGGAACAAGGCACAGAAGAAAATTGTAATCAGTACACAAGAAGAGTTAAAAATGTATATGTACAACTCAGATTTCAGGAGATCAAAAATTTATGAAGGAGTATAAGCTTAAGAGTTAGGCTTTGGTCTGTTTATATAAACAGATATTCAGGTAGTATGACTTGAAAACCTACACCCTTCACCATACAGGCTTTACAGCCTACCTTAAGAACAATGACATCATCATTTTGCCAGGAATGATGCCAAGCACTTCACTAATTTAGTCCATATTTGTACTCTATGAAGCAAGTACATTTATCATCCCCAGTTTACAAATGAGAAACTAGGGAAAGTATGTAACTTGCCCAAGATAATAGAGAACAAATAACAAAGTCAGAACATATGATATGGGTAAAGAACAGAAGAAAGTTCACTCAAGTGTTACTTTCTTGCTATTCCAAATGAGGTACAGGAACTAACACCATTAGTACCACCCAGGAGCTTCTTAAAAGTGCAGATTATTAAGTTCCACCGCACTTTACTGAATCATAATCTGAATTTTGACATACCCCCGGTGATATCTTTTTTTTTTTTTTTTTTTTTTTTTTTGTACCAGGGATCAAACTCGGGTCCTTGTGCTTGCAAGGCCTAGCGGAACCACTGGGCTAAATCCCCAGCCCCCCAGGTGATATCTTTATATTAAAGTATAAGCAGCACTGTGGTCCTGTTTATGATTCTAGAGAGAATGTCATCTTAGGCTAGTATGACTGTATAAAAGATGGATAGAAATAAACCACTTATTGTTATTGCATTCTTAAAGGTTTAGTACAAAGACTGCAGAATTCATACGCTTAGCAAATATAAGATTTAAAGGAGGTATGGATGATAGACTACCTGTTGACCTTTGCTAGATACTGAGTCAGAGGCCAGGGAAGAATCAGCAGTAACTTGGTTCAGAAAATAAAAGATGCTTCCCCAGGTGAAGCTAAAAATGGAAATGAGGCAAAACCTTTCCTAGGAGGTAGCAGTTAGAATGCTCAAGAAAATTCAGAGTTTGAAGAAGCCACATCAAGAAACATTACAAAAGTAGCACAGAGATTTAAAGTAAGTGGGGAGTCAGGAGATAGGCTTTAGAATTTAATCAGGATTACAATTATTGAATGGATAAGAGTAGGATACAAAATCTTAAACTTCCTTCATGGGATTGTTCTGATAATGGAATGGATACTCTGCTCAAAGGAGAAATAAAATGATACATCCCTTTGCAAATGTTATGTTTTCATATCCGTAAAATAGAAGTTAAGCATTGTCACAATGACTGCAAATACTTGGGTAGTTCCCATTATCAGTACTCAGCTGACATCTCCATAAAATACTGCCTGACCACCCCATTTAAAATTGAAATCTTTCCTCAGTACCACTATTGCAGCATTTTGTGTTTTGTTTTGTTTTTGTATTTTGAAACAGGATCTCACTATGTAGTTCACGCTGACCTTGAACTCATTATGTTGCCCAGGCTGGCCTCTAACTCACAGAAATCCTCCTGCCTTATCCATCAGAGTGCTGGGAGTGCTGGGATTACAGTTATGCACCACAACTGTCTATTCCAGCATTTTCTATCCCCATGTCCTGCCTTGATTTTTCTCTAGGGTATTTGTTCTTTTCTAAAACACCCTCTTTTCGTTAAATGCTTGATTTACTATACTCCACAATAGTAGAGATTTTCTCTTTTGCTTACTACTGTTTTTCCCAGGGCTTAGTGGCTTGTACATTAAAAGGATTTGTTAAATAACCATAGAGCAAAAGTTCAAGTATGGATAGTCAAGAACAGAGAGGTCAAAAGAAAATTGAAATGCAAAATTAAGAAGTTTTAAATGCCTGACTATACTGTCTAATTAGATCGAGAGTTCATGAAAATTCATCCTTTTGTTGAATCTAAGAATGAATAAAGTAGAATGTACAAATAACTTATCTAATAATACCACAAGCCTTTAACACTATAATAATACATTTAAGATATGTTAGAGACTTTGACCCTAGAAGAGCTCAAAATATGTTTTCCTTTATTCCACTACAGTGAAGAGCTGACACATGGAGTGAACGGGGATGGGTAGGTGTGGCTTGCAACTGAGTGGAGAAAAGATCAAAAATTTTTTTAACCAGTACTAGGAATTGAATCCTGAGCTTCCTCCATGTAGGGCCAGCATTTGGGGCCTGAACTATAGCCCAAGCTCTTTTGTAAAATTTTATTTTGAGCTAGGATGTTGCTATGTTGCCCAGGCTAAGCTCAAAGTGTTGATTCTCTTGCCTTAGCCTCCTAAGGGCTGGGATTACAGCTGTATGCCACTATGTGTGATTCAAATGTTCTTGCAATCTAGAGAGGTCCTGCAATTTTTTGGCAATCCTATTTGGATTTATTTTCTTCTAGTCTACACCAGATTTTAAAAAAATCTACCTTCTAGCTTGTGCAGTCTAAGGTAAGTTGAAAAGATCAGGGAAAGGAAAAAGTGGCATGGCATAACCACCTGCATCTAGTCTAGCAAGAAAAATGCATTTTCACCAGGGTCAAAATATATTTGAGGAAAAAAAAAAGTTAGCATATATCCAAAATATGCTTAGGAATCAATAAAGATGTTAGCAGCTCTGGTCTAATGAATTTGGAATTGGAATTTTATCAATAGACTGCTTAAGAAAACAGTTAAAATTAGTTTTAAGATCTTTCTTATCTGTCAGGGTAACAGGATGTTAAATATTGTTACCTAAGTGACCATAAAAAACTTTTTTACAATAAATAACAATAAACAACCTTTAGGGGGAAAATATAAGAGTTTTCAATAAAATATGAAGTAGTGAACTATTTTACCTGGAATGATCCAAGAATGTCCTTTAAGGGCTCTTCATAAAACTCATCTCTTCCAAAGAACAGCAGCAACTCAAAGAAACTCCTAGAAAGAATAAATGATAACTTTAATTGCTTCTTTGAGTTTTTGTTCCAGTTTATAAGATTATTAAGTGATGATAATGGCTATCTAAAATCAAATATTTTATCTTAAGATATTTGACTTAAAAAACCGTATCACTTAAAATTCATATTTTCAGGTAGGGGATTTAGTTCAGTTGTGCTGTGCCTGCCTCAGAAGCTCAAGGTCCTGAGTTCAATCCCCAGTACCAGAAAAAAAAATCATATTTTCAGTAAGATTTTAAAATAAATGTCTTCAAAAAATACTGACAATTCTATAGAATAAAACAATTATGTTACTTAGGATTAACATTATGCATGAAGCACTAAAATTCAGTAAAATACAACATGGTGGCTGTATGTGGAAGGGTGATCTATAGTGCAGTTTTGCCCAAGAACAGTGGGCCACAGAGAAAATTCAAAATGTATTTTTTCAGAAGGATAGAAAGAATGGATAAAATTGAAACAAAAACCTAATTCTAGGATATGCTAGAGAATATTACTATGAAACTATCAGCTTGTGTTTCTATTTGAGCATGTATCAGCAAGTATATCTAATAAGTGATATGATTTCTTTAGACTCTCGGTGTACTTGATTATCTCATTCATAATAGGAATGATCAAATTGTTCCTTTTTTAATAATTTTGAAAATAGTATTACTAAATAGTTAACATTCTTTTAATAATTCTTGAGTTCATAAAGAAGCCAGGGATTTAGTTCAGCAGTTCTTGGAAGCGCAAGCGCCTGAGTTCCCCGGTACAAAAAAGAAAGGCAGGAAGGCAGGAAGGCAAGGAAGGCAAGGAAGGCAAGGAAGGACTATTTCCTAATCATGAACATGGAGAACTATAAAATTATTTTTTAAAATTTTATCAATTCTAAAGTTATACAAACGACATATCCCTCCAAAATTCAACTAAGAATACCTAACGTTGTATTTTTATAAATGGTTTTGGTATTAATAAAATCATAAATGAAGACTGGAATTTTTAAATGCAGATATAACTATGAGAATATAGTTTTTTAAAACTGTAATAAAAAACACAAGCAAAATGACATACTCAGAAAAAAATTTTTGCTAATTTTCTTTAATTATTAAGCTTCCACAGGTAATTTTTTTAGAGTCAGCAATGAAGTAGAAAATTGGGAGAGACTATTTTATAGAAAATAAATGCAAATGGAGTTTTTAAATATGAAAAGAGTCTGTTTAGTAAGCAAAAACTGAAGATGAAAAGCCATTTTTTCTATAATATTTGCAAACATTTAATATATTGATGGCTCTGATATATAGAAACAGACCGTGATTATCTTGTTGAGGGAATGTAAATGATTATAGCTCCTTTAAGGGCAATACATTAATATTCATTAAAATTTAAAATGTACACATATCATCTGACTTAGCAGTTCAATTTATAAGAATTTCATACTCTAAATACACACATGTAAGTTCAAAGACACAAATTTAAGGATATATATATATATATATAAGTACATCACAAATTTTATTAGCCAAAGATGAAAGCTCCTAAATGTCTACCATAGGTGACAGAGTAAATTACTTGCAAATACAACTATACAAGGAAATATAATAAAAATATTAATAAGAATAATAGAATAGTTACATCTATATGAATAAATGAAAAACCCCAAGATACATTGCTAAGCAGAGATACAGACATATATTTATCCACAATTTCACTTTCTATGGTCAACTGTGACCCAAAAATACTTAATGGAAAATTCCAGAAATAAACAACTTAGAAGTTTTAAATTGCACACCTTTTTCAGAGCATTATGAAATTTTGCTCTGCTTGCATAAGCTACCTGCCCCTGCCACACTTAGTAGCTGCCATGGTTACAAAACAATTGTCAAGGCACTGTAATGCTTGTGTTGAAGAGTAAATCTTAGTTTACTTAAAATGGCCTCAGTACAAAAGTAGTGATGAAAAGGAGTTATCAGAGGATAAAACATAAAAAGATAGATTAACCCTGTTACTATGTAATAAATAGTGCTGTGGGACATGTAGAAATAAACAGCACATAAGTTTATTACTAACTGAAGTGTCATGCATATAAATCTTGGAATGCATCCCTTATGGATAAGAGAGGACTACTAGATATTGTTATCTTTGTGTAAAAGAAGTTCAGGAATAGAAGGCAGATCTATACCAACACATAAAGTTTATATACTGTCAAATTGGCTAGCGGGATACACAACAAATTAGTAAAATCTGTATAGAATAAGTAAGGTTTAAGGACCAGAGATAAAAGGGAAAATTACTTTTTATTATTAACCCTTTTGTATTCATTTTATTATTAATCAGTATGTTTGGAAAAAGTCCCATCAAAAGTATCTCCCTAATCTTCACCATCCCTATTAACAAAGCACTAGTAATTTATATCTATCTCATCTTTAAATTTCGAATGGACCTTTTTCCACTCTTGCTATTCGATACTTTCTAAAAGTCCAAGTTCAACATAGCTGCCATTTGTATCTTACTAAAACATAAAAATGATTCCACTGCTTACAGATGTTACAAACTGTTCCATCTAAGGCACATAACTTCTGCTTACACACTTGTTTCATATGAATACATCGCTTTAAACCATTTAACTGGTTGTCAACATTTTAAAATTATGATATAATATTTCTAGATTTCTCAGTGCTTTTGAAAAACAGGAACTCCAATAACACAAGTCTTGTAATTCTACATGATAGAATAAGCTGAGCAGCTAGTGCCTTTAGATAGGTTATAAACTCTTCCCTTCCAATTTGGCAGTCTCCATCCACCTTTCTTATTTTACCAGTACACTGCCTGGTTGATATATTTATCACTTATATTCCCTTCCTATCCTATTTAGATATTTTGAGATCACAGATCTACATCCAAAAAAAAAAATCCAAATTTTTCATTTATTACCTAATATTTTTGTCTTATCCAAATGTACCCTTACACACTAATCTTTTACCATAATTTCCATGCTCTTCATTTCTGCATTTCCTAAAACACCTATGTCCTTTGAGATCTTTGTTACTTAAGACCTGCTTATGTGATTTCACCTAGCTACTCAGCCTATAAACTCCCTTCTGTCTAAACAAAAATACAACTGATTTGTCTGTATTTTTTGATATATCTATTGTAACAAGTGAAAAGAGTAATGAAATTTGCACTCAGTAGAAGAGAATGATACTGTATCATAATGTTGAATAGATAGTATTGACTGATTAGAACAATTAAGTGTATTGAAAGAAAATAAAAAGGTTATTAGTGGAAAGAAAATATACTATGGCATTAAATTTATAATTGTAAGCAAATTAGCATAACCTTCTAAAGAGTCAGATATAACACAGAATTATATTAGTCTGTTTTGTGTTACTATAGTGAAATATCTGAGACCAGCTACCTAATATAGTATAGAGTTTTACTTTTGGCTCATGGTTCTAGAAGTACAAGGTAGTGGTGGGGTATCATCTGATAAAGGTTGTTTTTGTTTTTTTGCCAGATGAGTCCCAAAGTAGCTTAAGGCATCACATAGCAAGACACAAGGAACATGCATAAGTATATGTCTCTATGGTCTCTTTTCCTCTGCTTATAAAGCTTGCTATAAAGCAAGTCCAGTCATTTTAAGTAAAGTAACTTCACAAAGGTCCCAACCTTAAACACCATAATAGAATTCAGTTTCCACTCCCTTAATTCCTCAAAATGGGGATTAAATTTCAATACATCAAGACTCAGGGGACTATATCAAACTATATCTAAACCACAGCAAAAAATGTAGAATTATTGTCTGAATTATATAAATACAAAAAAGAAATCAATACAGAGAGAACTGTGCATGACCCCATGATTAGCTACTTTAATAATAAGGTCCAATTTCATGATTAATAATAAAACAAGAAACACATACAAAACAAGAGGAAATAAATACAAAACAACATGGTCTAACCATTACTGCCTTAAAGGAAAATTAAGAAGGACAGCAACTATAAGAAAATTTGAAATTACTAAAGTAAGATTTCTAAGACTATGTAGAAGTAACAGTGTTTCAAATTTTATATCATTTATTGAATAAGGTGAAGGATCAACTAAATGTTTATAAAGATCAATTTATCAAGTTCTCGTGAAAGAAAACTCTGCAAGGTACACAGTAAATGAACAAAACAGAACAAAGTTAGACCCCAAAATAAAAGGAGTAGACTAGAGCAGTGCTGGAAAATACTATCTATAAACTAGATCTAGCCAAAAGAAGGTCAATTTTAATACAGTGCACAAGATAATGGTTAACCATATTTAAATTATTTGAAAGAAACAGTCAAAAGAATATTTCGTAACAAGAGAATGTTACATGAAATTTGGGTATCTATTTTTAAGTAAGGCATTATTGAAATACTGTCACACTCATTTATTTACATATCGACTATGGCTGCTTTCACATTATAGTGGCAGAATTAAGCAGAGGCAACAGAGACCTTGGAGGCTGAAAGCCTAAGATGTTTACTCTATGTCCCTTTAAAGTATGGGTCTAGAGACCTATACTGTTCAAATTTGAATAACAGCTCCAACTTTACTTGGTGTGTAACCCTAGGAAAGTTACTTAACATCTCAGTGCTTTTAGTTTATTTCTAAACAAATAATAATAGCTGCTTTCTGAAAGGCACCTGAGAAACAATCCCTTGTAGTTAGTTGCACACATATTTACTGTTAATAATAGAGGCATACCTGGGAGATACTGTACTTCAGTTTCGACCACTACAATAAAACAAATATTGCAATAAAGCAAGTCATTTGCATCTTTTGTTTTCCCTGTACATATAAAAGTTATGTTTATATTATACCAAGTATGCAATAGCATTATTATGAAACTATACATACCTTCATTAAAACTACTTTATTGTTAAAAAGTATTAATGATCATCTCAGCCTTCAGGGAGTCATACTCTGCTGATAGAGTCATGTCTCCATGTTGATGACTTCTGACTGATCAGA